TCGGTATGAACGCGATCCGTAAGAAAATTGTGTGTTGTCTTGATATTTTCATCATTCTGAGTGGAAGAGAGTGTTTTGAATTCTCTAATTCAGTTAGAGTCTTTATTTTTTTTCCCTTCATCATGGCCTCAACGAAAAGAATTTAATTACCAAAAGTTTCTTATTTTACTAACCGTAAAAATGGCCATACACTTGTAGGATCGTCTAGTTGTTGCTTCAACTTGATCTCTTGATGATCGTTTGTTGTCTTAGTGTGTTTGCCTCTCTTGAGTTCATATGTGGCATGTTCTTAAAATTCCAAAGCATAATTTTCTTTCAAAGGCAATTTGGTCGCAACTTGCTTCTTACCAAACACGATGAGGCTTTTTTGCTTCTCTTCGATTATGGGCCAGTCTTGAGTATTCTAGAGCTGTTCTTGAATGTACAGGGAATTTTCTAGTTGGACCACTTCAAGATAGATCAGGGTTCCTTGATACTATTTGTGGTCTTCTCCGATCCAAATGGTACCTACTTAAACCGTGATAGACATCTTCTCTAATTCGGTATTGTCTTTTTGGTTATACTCATCATTTTGGCATGGTTTTGATCCAATCTCCAGGGTCAATCTGGTGATGCACACACATTTGATGAGCAAATTCTTATTTTGAACCCTTTTTAGGCAAATTAAGCACAAAGGGACTTAGTATCTCGTCTTCTTGGTTTCGTCATATTTCTATGTCCTCATTAACTTGTTTCTCCTTGAATATGTTGAACTCATTAAGATGGTTCTCGTTCTTTTTGTTCATCATGGGATCGTCCATCATGGTTGGGTTATGGAGTACCTTCTCCACTCAATGGGTGGTTCCTGGATTGATGTCCTCATCACAATTATAAGATGGCCTCTATAAATTATATTGCAAATGTAGGACCTATATTTGGTGACGGAGACGTAATGATAAGATGAACTTTTTTGAAGTAGTTATGGAACTAAAGAGCCGGCTAGACAAGGTCTAGATGGATGATCGCATGTATACTCTCGATGTCTCTGTGGCTCGGGAACAATTGTTTCCATCTATGACATATCATGAACTTTTCTTAGAAGAAAAAGTGTAGAACCTTAAGGTCAAAGAATGAGATTGGAATACACAATTTATTAATCTCCATTGTATGGTTTGGAGATGTAATTTAAATTTTCTTTTATCTTGATATTATTGTTTTTTTTAGGACAACAATCAGAGCGCAATTTTTTTTTTTGATCAAACTAATTTTTTTTATAGATTACTAAGCTCCATCAATGGAGGAAATGTTAATATACATAGCTAATGAGTCGGATAAAACATATGCCTCGCAAAATACATTAAAGATAGAGATAAGAGAAAAGAGTTCTAGAAGACAAAAGATATCATGTATAATGCTTTTCCGCTCATTGACAACACATCCACGCTTGAGGAGCTTGACAAGAGAAAGAGAGTCGAAGAACACAATAAAGTGTCGAATCTCTATAATTGCAGCGCCTAAAACTGCAGTTTTATTACGAACGTCTCTACTACTATCATCGAAGGTACAAACCTACGAGTGTCGGAGACTTGATGCAAAGAGATATTCCTTGCGATCTTAAGGGTGAGAGCTTCGGCAAAAGGCAAAGCAAACTCCAACATAGTTTTTCCTACAATACAATTAGAGCACAATCTTTGGAAGGAATAAAGCTCTTCTCGATCAAATCGGAAGAAAATCAAAGTCAAAACCTTTAATAATGACTCTGATACATAATGTTTGGTATCAGATTGTCAGAAATTCAATATGATTCCTCGAAGCATTGGTTTTATCATGCGGCATGCAATTTGTAGATTTCTTCAATGGATGCTAGCCACACATACATTTTCGATCAAAGCGAGATCGATAACGAAAAAATTAGATTTGATTAATTGTTACGAGTAAGACTTCATTTACAAAACATCATGTAGTTTCAGTTCTTTTGTTATATCATGGCACATATTTTTATATGTGTAATAATTTGCATTCTGAAAATTTTGTATAATGACTTTAATATATGGCGTTGAGAGTTGCTTCTCGCGGATTATGGCTACATGTAGATATGATCACTCAGTTCCCGATCTATATCATCCCTGGTAGTGTGGTTACACCACCCGGACGAGAGACTATTACAAGTGCCTTAACCGTCAAGTTATTTGGATTATTCTACATTTAAACCCAAAGACCTCTAAAACCAACACAATATACCAACTATACAAATAACCATAAGAGATTCACCTAAATCAAAAGAAAATTATTTTATCCCTAACACGTAGCATGAATTATCATTTATTTATTTTGAGTTATAACTCATTAATAACTCAAAAATATTATCAATCATCAATTAACCTAACATTTTAGAATTTGAGTTTGAATTGGAATGAGTTATGGTTGATTTATTATTTTATGTTATACCCTTCGTAAAACTGCTAATTCAAAACTTAGTTAATCCAAATGGGATGAATTCGTATTTCCAAGTACCAAGTCACAACATGTTTATGTTTTTTTTTTTCTCTTTTGCTAATTCCATTTATACTATTTCAATATTGCACACAGAATAATAGTTTTTTTTAATTCCAACAAAATATTGTCTTAATTTTTAATTAGCAAGATTGCGCAATTGAGTCAATGTGTAGGCTGGTGAATCCGGATACCATAAGCTATTCGGATCCTTCCAAACAATTGAGAAAACTAGGTTTCTAATATTCATTACTCAAAGGAAAGCAAACGATGAAGAGAGTTTGTGAGAAATTTGTCTATTATTGAAATTGTTGAATTCTTTCTTAGAGAAATACATTGCATATTTATACAATTTTAGAGTGGGTAGAATCAACCTTAATGAAATAAGGAAAACCCTTAATTCTAACGGATTTTCCATTCTTCATGTTGAATTCGCCTTCGTGGGCTTAGTTCATGTGTCTTTCCTTATGGTTTTCCGGGTCGGTTCCGGATCAGGGTCGGGTCTTTAGGTGGGTGCTAAACTCGGCACCATCAAGCATATTAGATTTTTTCTGATCTTTCTTGTTGACTGTCAAGAATATATCGAATACAAAGTGATGTGAATGCTAAGAGATACTACTTTTCTCTCCTTTATATCCTCCCATCTCATGCCCTTCATCATGTCCTTCACAGGAGTTTATATAACGCCCCCACCTCGAGCTCGAGCATTTTAAATTCCTATTTGATGCTCGGATTCCACTGAGTTGATGGGATCATTCAATTTTAAATGGGCTTCGCGAGATGATCGACTGCAAGTTAATGAGCTCGGAGCTTGGGTTTCTCGGATTTCTCGATTGATAGTCCGACGGGCATTTAACCTCAATAATAACATGTTTTTTTCTTGGACCGGGATCGAATGCAAGAACCAAGGCCAACA